AGGTGAAAGAAAAACATATAAAAGGGCAGTGTCTCGAATTTATTGTTATTTGTCGCTTTATAGTGATTCAGTTTTCTATTCTCTCACTCACTCACACATACACTTTTCCTCATATTTTTTTGTATTTTCAAACCATGTCTTCAACAAGCGAAATTGATTTAGCAAATGAATCTTTGTGTAACTTTTTAAGAAAGGCGCCTTTAAAACGACTTACCTTCTCCAGAATTCTTCATGAACAGTGGAGTTATTTCAAAATTCAAACGGAAGATTTAGACTGTGAAAATCTCAAGATGTTACTGCAGAAAGTGGAGCAAGAGAATATTGGCCGTGAACGTAAAAAACATATTAAGTTGCTACAAGATAACGAAAAGGTATGAAATAAAAATTCCAATCTCTGTTTGACATATGGAATGATGATTATAGCTGTCAAACCATATCTGCATACAATGCGGTGGAGTAAGTGGTTAATTGCCAGCGAGAATCCGCTTCATTGTGATGCTATGTGTAGGTTATTTGACAGCAAATTTTTTAAGGGCCCGTTGATAGTTCTGACTAGTGAGTTCTTATAATTAAAAAGATAAATTCCAAATGCATTTGGTAACCCACTATTTTTTTCAGATTCGGTTTAGTTGAACTTAAATCATTGGCAGAAGATAACTTATTACGAGAAAAATTTGAAAAACAAATAAATTGGAAAGACCAAGCTTCAAGTAACATAGCTAGCATTAAGGATATAATCAAGGTATTTTATCAGCGAAAATTTGAGATAAATCTATTCTTTTTAACAGTAAACTCTTTTTTTAAAGGACGAAAAAACTCAGGCGCATGAACGTCTTATTGCTAAATTGAGTGGAGTGGACGTTAAGAAGTTAACTTGTAATGATCCACTAACAAATAATGTAATTGACTTAGGCGCAAATTATCTTCAAACCCCAGATAATGATTACGATGTACTTACTGGTGAAAGAGCTGGGATACGAAAGTTGAAAAAGGATCCACTTATAAAAAACACATGCGCCGAATTTGTTAAGAAAAGAGATGAAGCAAATAACTCTTATAAACTTGTACTTTCGCAATCTGAAAAGGTGGTACATGATAGGTGGGTTGAGGAGAATTATGGTCGAAAACGTATAGCCAGGAACGTTACTGATGTCCTTTTACAAGAGGTGATGTCGAATGCACTTCATAAAGTTCTTAGAGGTTCTGAAGGGTCTAAGGTAGAAATTGTATCTCGATTAATAGATGCCGTTATGTGGCGTTTACCTCTCGAATATGATGTTGAAGTAACGAGAGGTGAACGGCAGAGTGTTGCTAGTAAAGACCGAAAATTGCAACATAATAGTAACGCAAGAGGAGATAGACCAGATCTCATGATTCAAGCTTTTCTTCGTCAAAAATGGGACGAAATTGCATATGTTGAGAGTGGCAAATGGGAGACTACTAATAAGAAAATCTTTGATGATCATAACAAATTAGTGAGACTATCCCTTGATGGGTATCACTACCTCTTAAAAAAATATAAAAGAGAGATTTTACATCAAACTTTTATAGGATTTGGTATTAATATAGCAGGTGAGTATATTGTTATCCACGGACTGATAAATGAGAAGGGGGTCAATTATTACCTTCCAGTAGCTAGAGCGAAAATCCCTCTAAGTATGGAAACAGTTGATGAGGTTGAGGATTTTGTTCATGCTCTATTAATCCTGAGGGTTAGTATTATTTTTATGAAACGCAAAGCTAGCAACTTATTAATATCAAAATTCTACATTTTTAGAACAGAATAATTGTAAATTTACAAAATATGGGGAATAACTTTTAAAAAATTAAAAAAAATGATCCTTGATATAAGAGAATTAAAAAATACAGATTCCTAAAGTATATCTTTTATATTTTTGTTCTGTTATTTTATTTTAAATATCAATAAAGCTTACCCTGGTGGCCGATTTCAGTGCATACATAATCGCGTTTACTTTGCATGTGTATTTCATAGATTTATTTATTGTATTATCGATGTATACTGTATTAGCCCGCATATGATCGAGAATTTTTGTTTCACTCACACAGACAGCAGTATAGATTTCATGTATCATGGGCTAGGTCCCAAATATTTGTATTTATTTTCATATGTATTAATAAAATTTTTCTTGGCATTAGCGTGAAGAATCTTCACGCTTATATGATTTTTAATCTGCTGGTGTTTTTTTATGTATCGGGTATGATCATTTGAATATATATATATATTATATTAAAAAATGGCAAATACACAATCCAAAACCGATTTATTAGAACAAATTTTCAAGCTTGTAGCTGAAAATACTGAACTTAAAAGGGAGAAGACTGAATTCTTAGCTAAAGAAGCAGGATTTATGGTCAGAATAATAAAATTAGAACAAAATGCTGAAAAAGTGAGATTAAGAGATACTAAACTCAATACCAGAATCATAGAACTAGAATGGTTAGCAAAAGAAAATGAAAAGCAATTTGCAATATTGGAGCAGAATCAAAACAATGTAGTAGATAAATTAGAAAATGGTGATAATTTATCTAAAACTAATAATATATCTGACCCTGTTATAAACCATTGTATTGATACTAACTTCAAATCATTAGAGGGTGACATTCCTAAACAGATCGAAAATATTTTCGATATTATATCTGATGATATAGAGCATAGAACATCTGCTTCTTCTGATATATGTCAAGAAAACTGAATCACTATAAAGCGACAAATAACAATAAATTCGAGACACTGCCCTTTTATATGTTTTTCTTTCACCT